CCGGGCGGCCTCGCTCCGCGGAGGGGTGGGCGCCCCCGGGCTCCCCCAGCACGCCCCCCACGCGCTTCTTCACCGAGAAGAAGATCCCGCACGAGTGCCTCGTCATCGGGGCTCTGGAAAGTGCGTTCAAGGAAATGGTAGGTACCGCCGAAGATCCCCGGGCGCCAGGGGCCGGGCGGTCGCGGAAGCCACAGCCTTGCTTCTTAGGCAGTTCCCGGGAAGGGCGTGTCTCTGGCCTGTCCGCTTGCGGCCTGGTCCCCTCCGCCTTCTCCCTTTCACAGCGGGGCTTTCGTTCTCAAAAGAGGTGGGCAGCACGCGAGTTCCAGCATCCAGTGCTGGCAAAAATGGAGGAGAGGGGAGAGGGGAGAGGGGCAGTGCATGGGGTGGGCGTGCTACTGCGGCTCTTTCTGCCGGCGCTTCTGCGGTTCCACTTAACTGAAATGTGAGCGTGCTTGCCACCTGTTTTACATGCGCGTATGAGTTCCAGGTGTTTGGGGAACCAGAGCTTGTAGCAGAGTGCTCAAAAGTGCGCCTCCCGTACACATCTAATCTGAGAACAGGTTTCCCCCGTGATTGACAGTGTGGTTCCCACTCCTTAAAGCAAGGGGGGCCGGTTTCTAAGAATTGCTTGTTTTACTTGGGGACATGGATTTGTTTGGACATTTAAATTTGAATATGTCTGGTCCAGGGATTCAGCCTCGCCTCTTGAGAACTCAGGGCACTCAGCTGCCCCCCGCTGTGTGCCCTGCTGTCCGTCTGCCTGGTGAGAATCACACAGAAGGTCTGTTCTGCGCCATCTCCTTCCCGCTCTGAGCTCACGTTCTACTGAGGCAGTTATTTAGGCTCCAAAGATTTTTCTCTCCTGAGCAGCCTGTGTGCAGATAGAGTAAGAGATAAGTACAGATGCCAGGAGGACTAGAGTCAAGCGAGTGGGCAGTATTGTCGTTAAAACCTGGAGATGAAAAAGAGATGACGAGCTCTTAAGCAAGAGCAGCTACAGAGGTCACTCCAGAACTGAGGGCGCCCACCAGGCACACTCCAGACTCCAGCCTCTCACCATGCCAGGTAGAGTGCTCATGAGAGGAGGAAAGTAGATAATACTGAACTGCATCTTCTGACTGATTTATAAGGCAAAAATAGTTCATGTATTCGCACCTCTAATCTGCCCTCTCTCCTCACTTTAACTCATTTCTCTTTTGGTCCCAGCATTTCTCTTCTTGTCACATAGGTATTTACCCTTTGAGTAGCAGGTGGTTTAAAATGCATCTCTGTCTCAGGAGTATCTGGTCGCCTTCAATCCCAAGAAAAATACCAGGAGCCTGGAAAAGATTATTTAGGAAAAAAGGATGAGGGTAGTGAAATTGACTCCTACTCAGGCTTGGTATAAAATCCTCTCCAGCTTTCTGATGTGAACAGCTGTAAACACAGGTGCTCAGAAAGCTAAATATTCATTCGAGGTGGAAATTGGACAGTGGACTGTCCTCCTAGTGGGAGAAAAAGTCAGCTTACGTGATAGAAGTGAAAAACAAAAGAAACTTTGGGTTTTTCATTTCTTTCAGTGATGACTAGTGAGTGTCATGGGACATCATTTACTTCCAACTGCTGTATTCTCAGTTTCATCCACTAGAGGGCAGTGTCACATTGAGTCAGGCCTCCACACCCGTCTCAGGCTGTTTCTGCCCATCAATGGCTCAGGGTAAAACTACCTGACGTGGGAGTCTCCCTCAGAAAAATACTTAGTAAAGAGCCTCATTTTTCGTTTTTGAAAGTTTTTCAGCTTTTCACGAACTAGTTCACTACCAGAAAGTTTCTTAGTTGCCAGCGAAAAGATCATTTCACTTCCCCATGTAATTCATTCCATCAATAAGTATTCATTAGGATCAAACTATAACCCAGGCCTCATTGGGAAAAGAGCATTGAAGAAATTAGGCAAAGGCGGGTATTAAACAAGTAAAATGTAAATGGGATGGGCCTTGAGAGGAGGAACTGCAGGGTGAAGTAGGACTCTGTTAAAGAGATGAAGCGAAGGGTCCTCGGAGAAGTGGTGCTCGGGGAGTAGGAATAAGGCAGACAGAACGTGGGCGCCTGGAGAGCCTTCTGGGGAGAGGAAACCATCTATGTGAGAGAACCCACATGGGCCAGAGGCAGCAAGCTGATGTCCACTGTGGGCAGAGGACAGATTTCAAGGGCAGGAATGATGTAAGGTGAGCTGGAGAGGCTGTCTGTAACCAGCCTGTGCTATACTAGAATTTTGGGGTTTTAAGCCATATCTGCTCTTTTCCAACCCATTCCACGTTACAGCTTCCTCTTCAAGCTTACTTTTTCCCCAGATTGTCTCTCTAGCCCCCAGTGTGACACAGGCCTGCCTGGACTTTGCACCGTGTGCTTGGCCATATTAAGTGAGAAAGCTCACCATTCCTTGGTTCTCCTGTTCCTGGCAGGGTGGCCCTACCTCCTGCTCTGCTCGGGACTGAGCCAGTTGATGCCTGTTGGCCCAGAATAGTTACGAATATTGTCCCCTTGTACTCTCACAAGCGTCCCTGTCCAAATAATGTCTTATGTCTACCCTAATTATAGAGAGATGCTCTCATTTTTTTCTTTGCTTCATCAGGGACTTCAGGAAAAATCTCTCCCGCATCACAGAAATGTGCCTGACTTAACCATTAAATAGTCTGGGCTGAGGTTCAGAACTTAAAGCACAGTTACACAGCGTACTCTTGATTGAATGATCCGGAAGGCCCTTGCCAACCCGTAAAGAATTCGTTTTCTTTCCTCCCTCTCTCAATATCAGGTTTTTGAGAGTCAGTGTTTGAAGGTCAGCGTGAGTTCTTTGCCATGCTTGGCACACGGCTGACGTCCTTACGCTGTTGGCCTGACCTTGGTAGTTCCTCCTCAGGCCTTTCAGGGAGGGGCAGGTTGGGAATTGCCGAGTCATTCCTAATTTTTTGCCTTACACAGCCAGCCCCTTTGCAACGTTCCTGTTTCTAGCTGTTCTCTAGGCATTGCAGGTTGTATGCCGTTCGGATCCTCTGTGATAGGAAAACTCAAGATTGGATAAGATTCAGCCTTTTCTGCTTTGTGGCTCTCTTGCTTCTTTTTCACTTTTAATCCCTAAGAATTCCCGAGGCCCAGCACCTAAGCCTCAAATTTGCCTCACTGATGCTTTTTTGCAGCTGCCCCTCCTGAGATTCAGAATGTAACTTCAGATACCTTTAAAGGCAAAGCTGGCCTTTCGTTTGGGGTTCTGCTTTATTTACGACAGTTTAGCAAAATCCAGTCAGAGGTCTTTGCTCTCTCTTTCTCCCCACCTCCCACCAATGCCCGTCTCAGTCACTAGTGTTTATTGAGCTTATATTTTATAGCCAGCGTTCTTCTAGATGCCATGGGGGTCCAGCAGTAAAAGATTTGATTTTATATCTGGGAGCACTTGTAGTCACCTTAGAGGAACATAGAGGTATATAATATCTCATTGGTTTCAGTATTCTAAGTGGCATTAAGGGAAATGTTGCTATCTGTCTCAAAGAGAGAATTGATTAAAAAGATTCAGAAACACCAGGCCAGAATAAATAGTACTTTTTTCTAGGAAGAAGTAGGTACTTGTTGAAAAATACTAACGCAGCCGGGGGGAAGATGCCAAGGATGAGGGGAGATGATAGGTTTCATCCAATTCTGGATGCTTCTTTGAAGGCACTGTTTTCTCTTTCTCTCTGATCCTTGGGGTGCCTGGCACAGTGCGTGGCTTGTGAGAAGGTGACCTCTGGCCTCTAACACGTGCTGGCCCCACGGCCCCTATTGTGTCTCCTCCTGGAACTCCCTTCAGCGTGTGAGAAGCTTGCATCGTCCACTCCTCCTGTGTCCACCGTGGAAGATGAACCCTGCCTTCCAAAAAGACCAGCATCTTAGGAACTTTCCGCCTTCATCTCTGCTTCCCAGTCGCACTTTTGTACCAGCACCCTGCTTTCCTGGCTGAGTTTTCCCACAGCTGTGTTTAGGCTGTTGCCTGGCCCGGGGTGACCGTTGTGAAGAAGATAAATGTCTTCTAAGTCCCGGTGTCGGTCGGCACCCTGCTGCCCCACGCGCCACAACAGGGGTGTCAGCATTTCACGCCCATGTCGGGAGTCACTTCCGGTGTAGGTGTAGTTGCAGCGGGCCTTTGCCCTCCTCAGAATCAGAACCAAGTCCGCAGTGGTGAGCCCTTGACCTCCCACCTACGGGAACTGAGTTCTGGACACAGGCAGAAGAATCTCAAAATTCTGCCCTGCTTCTTCTTCAGTGTGGTCGTAGAGTCCTCGCCACGGTGAAGAACATTTGGAAGTCTGGTTGTGATGAAGGGAGGAAAATGGCAATATTTTAACTTGTAAAACTGCCGTACATCTTCCTATCACTGAGTAATGGTCGGAAATACCACTCAGCTTGGCTTTGTTGGTTAAAAAAAAACGAAACTCCATATGGTGACAAGATGATGGGAAAGGAGGATGAATGCAGAGCTTATTTATAGCTTATAAATCCTAGTGGTCTTGAAAACTAGGATATTCGTGGTAAGTGGACCTGTATGTCTGTATTTAAGCTGGAGGGTTTTTTGTCTTTGTTTTTGATAGAACAGAAAGTTCCTCCAAGAAAAAAAAAAGGCATGTGATTCCACTAGTAGCCAGCAGGTGGCAATATTAGGCAGTACTGGTTTTTCCCTTTCCCATTGCCTGGCTGACAGATTGGCTTGTCCTCAGAATAAACCAAAAGCAGGCCCAGATACTAAAACCATGCAGAATCTTATTATTTGTGACTGACACTATTAGCAATGTGCTCAGAACCATGTTTAACCCACTTAGGGGCAGCTGCCAAGCCCTATTGAAACTACCCAACACTCACTCCCTTCTGTTGTTTGATACTGCTTTTCTCTTGCAACCTGAAATTGGTAGGAGACAAAGAATGACCCTGGAGTTGCACCATCTCTGAGACTTTCAAACCAAATTACAGCGATCCTGAGCAACATATTTTCTTTCTTGCAATTATTTCCCGCTGAATTAGTCTCATTTCACACACACCTCTTTTTCCCCTTCATTGCACTCTTCCTTGCAACAAAAAGGAGCAAAATAAAACCCCAGGCCTTAGACATTGGATCCGTTCTTTGATTTAGAGATAAACCTCACTTAAATGCAATATTTAGACATAACACGGGAGAAATCAGTCCTGCTGAGTAGAAAGTAGCCTCGAGAGGGACTCCTGATTGAGCAGATAAATCAATTATCTTGTCAATTGAATCTTTGGAGTCATTTAAGTTGATCCTTTTAGACCATACTTACAAAGGAATGATAGTATGTGCGTGTGTTTTGTGGGTAATTTATTCTAGACTTATGTCTTGGGGCTCGTGACAACTAAAATGGAGGAAAATACTCCAAATCGGACCTTGTTGAGCACAAAAGCCGTCGACAGTTTTTCTATGATTTCCTTGATCGTTGGGAAAAATACCCAAACTTCTTGAGGGTTTAAAAAAAAACTACATTTTTATGTACTTTTTTAAAACTAGCATGTGAAAAGATTAAGCTAGTTGGAAAGGTTGAGGGTTTAAAGAAATTAGGTAGTTAATTCTACAGTAAATATATCTTTATTGACTTCATTTATTGTGTTTGATCTGGTAGTAAAAGAACCACCCAGATGGTCCTTTAATGTTCCTCTCAGTACTAAGATTTGGTGAAACATCTTTTCAAGAGGAGTAGGTGGTGGAGGAAAAAATAAATGTGCTATTTTGGCTTCTAGGGAGGGGAGGGGGAAGCACTTATTTTTAGAATATGCTCTAGTTACACCCAGTTTTAGAAGAAATGGAAGAGCGTATTTTCATGTCAGTGAGACCTTGCGGGTGGGGGGTGAAGTCTGCGGAAACACATCTCTCAAATTCTTGTCACAGTGATCTCAGCGAGCACACATTGTAATTACCGTGGGTGCGTGTGTGTAAGCGCACACATGTGTATTACCACACAAAGAGGGAAGGTGATGAACGCCTGAACACATTAGTGGAGTTTCTTGGATAAAAAAATAGCTAGACTTCTGTGGAAGTGTTGCCAAATTTAGCATTCCTTATGCCGGGGGAACCACGGAGGGAAGGTAGTTGAAACGTAGGACCAGATGAAAGAAAGGAGGAAATCAATTAGAAAAACACTGCCTTACGCTGTGAATGGAATAGCAAGGGGGGTCACTGGGCCAGCTAACTGCCACGTTTCCCCCCAAATTAAAGGCAAATGGGGACTTTGCTGAAGCAGGAACTCTTAGTGTCCGACACTCTGGCTTGATTTTTTTTTTTAAGAATTAAATAATTTTATAATCAGATTTTCTTGTGATGTAAACTGTGATAAATAAGGCACCAACGATGCAGAAGAAGCTTGAGTCTGGGCGGAATCATTTACAGAGATGGTTCTTTCTCATGGACTCATGTGTCCCTTTCGGAGCACACCCAGTGGTGTCAGTCTGTTGAGCGCCGTTCACATTCCAGGCCGTATACAGCACTCAAGCCGTGGGGTGTTTAAGGGACTTTTCATCAAATTTGTCTTTCCTGAAAATAAATAAATAAATAGACCTAATTACCTCCCCCCACAAAAAAATTTTTTTTTAATTTTTAATTCAGACTTTAGGTGTTCAAACAAAGATGGGTTCTGGATGTGAAAGAATAATTTCTGGAGCTGGAGTAGTTCTTTCCAGTGTATTAAATACAGCAGTGCTGGGTGCGGACTTTGTAGACCAGTTTCTGTGTTAATTTGATGAAATACGTATCTATCATAATATAAACTTTCTATCGTTTATTTAAATGCAAAAATTTTTGAATAAATCTACCCACAAAACCCTTTGTGATTAGGGCTCTTGGTTCTGTTTTGATGCATTGTTTGAAGGTTAAACACACGGAACTTCTGGAACTTCCGATGTCTTGATGTTTTCTTTCTCCTCTTTCACTTCCTTGTGACAGTCTTTCCCTCCTGACATCCATGCCCCTAGCCCCCGCTGCCCCCAGCCTCCTGCCATCCCTGCTTGGGTTCTGATAACCATTCATTTGTTCTTGTCAGTTGACGGCATTTGATCAGAAGCCTGGGTTCCTGCTTCATTATTGCCTCAGCATTCATTCGTCTTGTAAGCTTTCATTTGTGAATTGTGGGACACATGTCGCATGTTAAGGCAGAGGTGAAGTGACAAGGAGATCACTGAAATGTAACAAACATTTATTAAACTACCGCTTACCTGACCCAGGATAGGTGTTGAGGGTCTAACAGTGAGCGAGAGAGGTCTCTGCTCTCACCCATGGGGTCCAGGCCGCGGGAAGGGTCTCGATGGTCTGCCCCGCCCCTCCCCCACATCATCTAATTTAATCCTCATCTCAGTCCTTTAAGCTAATTTATACAGAGTTTGTAACTAACTTTTAAAAACTCAGTGTGGTCTTTTTTTTTTTAACATTTTTTATTGATTTATAATTCAGTGTGGTCTTTGAAGGTGGTCCTCACACGTGACCCGTCTGCAGCTCTGATACTGCCGTCCCCTCTGTCCCTTATTGGAAGTTTTCTTCACTTGCTTCTAAGCCACCACATCCCACAGCACATGCTCTTACCCCTCTCCCTGGGTCCTCTGCCTTCCCCTTCTCCCAGCTCATTCCCGCTATCGTCCTTTCTCCCAGGTCTTTGCACTTTTTCTCTACTTACTTTTTGATCAGTATCCTGTGCTTAATCTGTATCCTCAGCTCAGGCTTTTCTCCTGTTCCCAGTTGCTCACTGGCAATTTACCTAACCTCTTACTACCACCTCTGGCCTCTGGAGCTGTTGCCGGTAGATACAGAATTAATGATCATCTCCCCTTCCCATCAGGAGGCTGGCAGAAGCAGCTGAGTTCTAATTCTGTGGTTTCTCAGAATCACAAAGCTGCCCCGGCCCTCGGTCAGCCAGGGCACCAGCTCCTCCTCCCCTGTACCCAGCCCTCCTTCTCCCTCCCTCGGCCCCAGCAGCAGGTGTCATTGGGGATGTTTGGCATTATTTTAGCGAGCATTCAGTTTATGTTCGTAACTCAACTCCCATATTTCTGAGGTCTCGGAACCCTGGCCTCCATCACCGGCACAGAGTCTCACAAGGACGTCTGTCTTGAGGGTGACGTACGTCTGTCAGTAGAAGTGTGGGTCTCGTTCTAGTTTTCTTGGGGAGACCTCATTAGGTGGCAGGTAATAAGTACTAGACTTCAGAGGAGGAGAACTAGGTTGGAACCCAGACTCCAGCCCCGTCATTGTGGGCACCTCCCCCACTTCTCTGCATCTGAACAGTCAGGTTAATAATACAGTTGTGAAGATGAGGTGTGATTCTACATGTAAAGTGCCTCGCGTACTGCCTGACGTAGAGGAAGTGCTCACTGAACGTTGGCTGTCACTGTGCGTGTGTGTCACTCTTGCGAATTAGTCCCTTGGGAAAAGGAAGTCAGGTCAGAGTTCTGAAGCTTCTGTCTGATCGGGAAGATGGGGTGGAGTCCTGCCTGCGTGGAACTGAGGACACTGTCCTTCAAGTCTCCTCTCTTATCCAGGTGTAAAGGAAATCATTAACTGGAGCCTTGGGGATTAAAAACGCTGATCAGGTCCAACCGCTTGGTGTTATCAGCCTCTCCTTTCTGTTTTGCACATGGCAGCTCAGGCCATCCATGCAAAGACTAAATTTTCCATAAGCCATGATATCTGTTGAATAAATTGGTTTTATTCTTCTCATTTTTATCTGATTAAATCTGTCTGCCTTCCCTTGTTTCCTGTCTCTGGTCCACAGATGGTCTAGTCGGTGACACTTTTGTGCCAGTGTCTTCCCCAGAAATGAGCATCAGGCAGGGTAAGGGCCAGTACCAAGGATGTTCCTGTCTGTTCTTTGAAGCACAGACTCTCAGAGCTGTGCTGAGGAAGTCTTTGATGCGAGTCCTTGTACAATCCAGCACTGTCTTTGTTTTCTTCTCCAGGACCTACAGATAGAACGAGAGAGGAGTTCATATAATATATCTGGTGGCTGCACAGCGCTCATTGTGGTTTGCCTTCTGGGGAAGCTGTACGTGGCAAACGCTGGAGATAGCAGGTAAGCAGATCCGTGGCCGGTTCTTCCTAACATTTGATGCCTTCCTGTACTTTGTATCTTTTTAGAGAAGTTAAATGATTAGAAATAAGATAGTTCTGCTTGGGATTAGATATTGAGGAAGATAAGCCTTCTACATCTGATTAAAAATGCCTTTAAGAAGCCTCCTCAATCAAAAGGTACAGATCGCCTTCTGCTTAGCTGCCCGCAGTGGCGTTCACGGGTACACCTGGGATTTACCTGCACCAGTGGTACCCAGACGTCCTTTGACTTCAGAACCTGGTGTTTTTTTCAGTGAAAGCTCAGCAGGGGCTAAGTATATGCAAGAGACAAGGAGGGAGGAAAGGGATCTGAATGAAGTGGGTATCTGGGGGGAACCAGGGAGGGCTCCCCGGCTGGGGCTGGTTTCGCGTCCCCTCCAGGAAGCCTGGGCAGTGCCCCTTTTATGCGCGTGCGCCTGCGTTCTCCTCGCTTCCCGGTTCAGCTGAAAGGAACTTTGGCCACGAGATTA